TGCCAAAAAACATACTTGTACAGCTGGGATCTTTAGGTATCTCCCTATTCTCCAAGACCTCTGACTCCTCCATGCAGACTTCCTCCCCTTGGTCCATCTGGGATAGGATATCAGGCTTGGAAATGGCATGATCTATACCATAGGAAAGGAGACAGGTTGTTAGGAAACCAGGCCATTTGAGCAACGTGCACAGAGGATAACTCAGTCAATGTATAGACAAGAGATCAAAGTCCTCACCCAGCGAGACCAGCATGTCATAGTTGCTCCTCATGACAGTTCTATAAAGCTCTCTCTGCCACTCTTCTAGGTTCCTCCATTCCTGCTCATTGAAATGGACCGAAGCGTCACTGAAGTTCAAGGGCACCTAGAAAAAGCAAGACGGCTAAAAAAAATCACTGTGCATTTTCCATCAAGTCAACCCCATTTCCCTTCTGCATTTTCATACTAGAAATCCTAATCTTCTCTTCGGTTCTAAAAACTCACAAACCTCTAGCTGGCAACATATTATTTATTGATCTATGTAGAGAATTTGTATGGCCATCCACTCACTCTTATGGACTCTAGGCAGCTTACAAACAATTAAAATGACCAGCTTTTAAGCAAGCAGTATGTTCTTTGACGGACTACAGTTTACAGCTCCAGAATCTGAAGATGCCTAAAATCCAAATAACTCCATCTGTCGTCATTTTTTCCTTCCAGTCATAAACTGGAGAGTGGATGATCTTCCTGTTTTCAACTAGCTAATCTGTCTCGTCCAAAATCAGAGCAAACTGTGATTCATTGCAAAGATACCCTGGCTTCTCATTGTAATTTGGGAGATAAACCATAATGCTAACTGAATTCCGCATATATTTTTTTCGCAGGCAGAGATGTAAGGCAGAACTAAACTTTACAGATGATTGTTCATCTACAAGTCCAGTCACGCTTTGTAGCCTCCTCCCAAATCATTTCTGCTGAGTCCTGACTCTTCTCTGGATCAGGCCACTTCAGTGGGATAGAGATTACCTTAGGAACTTCTCCTTTAAATCCTGGAGGAAATCTCAAGATCCAGAAGTTCAGATTCTTCAACAGACACTCAAGGTTCTCCAACCTCCGCTGCAACAGGCTGTTCTCCTCCAAGATGGTCCCCAACATGGCCAGTTTGCTCTCCAGCTGGCTCCCCATTTCCATTACGGCTTTCTCGCAGCCCATCCACTTCTGCTCGGCTGCCACCATCCTCTGCTCCAGATGGAGCAACTGGGCATTGGGGGGATCCATCGCAGCCTCCTTGGCTTCTCCGGCAGACATGGCAGACCCAGCAGATGTTTCCAAGTTCTTGACCTTCATTGCCCCATCCCACGCCGGTTTGAAGTCTCTCAAGGTAGAATGGAGGCCAACCCGGATGCCTTGAACCCCGCAGCTCGCTTTTTGGGGTAGAGGGAAAGAGGAATTCGCACAGAACTCTTCTCCACCAAATTCAGACGTGCATCATTTCAAGAATTGCAAAGTTCAACTGGGCTACTTGTCACCTACTGCTAAGATTTAACCATCTGCATTCTGCTTGAGAAATTTAAGTCATCCAACCCCGGTCCCTAAGTTTTCCAGTTCCCATTGTTTAGATCAGGGGTGTCAAACTCGCGGCATCATGGGAGAGACCGTAAGTACCTCAGTGAGACAAACAGAAAACGTGAGCTCTGAAGAGCCTCACAAAATTTCTGTGACAAACCGATGCCGGGGATCCTTTTTGGATCAGAACTTTTCTGGAGGAAAAGTGAAGAAGGAACTGCGTCTCATTAGACCCAAAGGTATGCAACAGGTTCCTCGTAGGTCGGAGATTAGCTCTCTGAATCAGCATCGGGGGAGGCAGCATGGCTGCTATCAAGCTGGAGCTTCTGGACTAAGCATATGAGCAGGAGCGGTGTATGAAAGGAATGTGGAAATCTGGTAAGATTTAAATAACCAACTGCCACAAATCAGAATTTGGAAAGGCAAAGAATCTTGTGAGTAGAAATAATATTGACGGATAGATTGGGATTTTGGCGGAAAGAAAAGAAAGAAGGAAAAAAAAGTGGTTTAAATCATTAAGCCCAAAGAGAACTGCTTATTTTAAACAACTTGGAGACAGAAATGAGAAAACAGAGAATTGACTAACCCATTGAAATACAAACTTTGAATTTGGATTTGAAGAGATTGTGTCTTTAAAAGAGATTAATTGACAATTGGGAACTTCACAGAGCTTCACAGCAGGAAAGAAGAAGGAGGGGAGGAACGGAAGCTAAAAATACACCAAGGAGACTTGCTTTGTTCGAGTTTGTTCTAATTTACATATCTTCAGCAACTCTAATCAATGAGAGGTAGAAAGTAACAAGAAAAAAAATCAAGAAAAAGCACTATTTTCTCCATCCATAATTCTATTTTGCCTGGATTTAAAAATATCAAGCTGTATTGCTGGAAATCATCAAGTTGAAAGAATATGGAGCCATTTGCCGGAGGGAAGAATAAAGAAAGCGAAGTGATTAAGATGTCTCCCCCTTCTCCTCCTCTCCATTTTAGCTGAATTGGAATATAAGCCGGATCAGAATTGGGAAATAAGAAGAAACCATGGAACTTAAATTATAATTAACTGTATAACTAACTGTAATTTTTGAACTGGGCATTATGGAAAGGTGGGAATTTGAAGAAATATGTGAAATTATAAAAAATATGCATAAATCATTAAAATTAAGCTTAAATAGATTTTGAAGTTAGAAATTGAGGAGAGGCAGGAAATGAGGGAAGAAGAGTGGGAGGGTAATGAAATGGTAGAAACAATGGAAAATAAAAAGCAGACTAAAGATTTCACTGGGTTTGACAGTGGCACAGGGAAAATTGAAAAGGGAGATATGTCTCAACAAAGAAAAGGGAAGGGACAGGAATAGAGAAGAAAGGAGCGATAAGAGAAAAGAGGAAGAGAAGACAGGGAGACAGAGGATATGTCAAAAGAAGCAGCAGTGTGTGGAGAAGGAAGAAGATATACCCAGTAGAAAAAGTGGTTTAGAGTTTGGGATAAAAGGCTCACTACGAAGAAATCAGATATTTAGAAACTGTTATGTGGAGAATATAAAGTAGAGGTATGTGATTTACTCTTTTACATGATAATTAAACTGAGTTGCTAATTGATTNGTATGAACTGGGCCATGGGGGACACACACCTAGACAAGGAACTATATTACAACATGAAAGTAAATCAATTAATGGGGTTTGGATCTTCTAGAAGGAGCTGTTGGTGCTCAGGTGGACCATCCTGGGCTCCAAAATTGGCATTGTTTGGTGTGAGAGGTGGCCCGTATCTCATCCATCTCAACTAAAAGGATGGGAGGTACATATAGGAGAACGTCTTGTCGGATGGAGGAATCTGATATCCCTGGCAGGCACAAATTCATCAGCTATTCAGGCGCCACTAACTCTACTTAGCAGTGACGTTCACAACCTCCTGAAGTATTTTGGGTGGAGCAGACCTCAACTCAAGATCAATGAAGGGATGAGAGTGAACGCCGCACCAGCCAACATCTCAAACACAACTTGTTAGATTGGACAAAAGCCACCAGGAACAGAGGAACTGCCAATTTGCTCCCTTCTGTTCCATTTGAGAATGACCCTTAAAAACACAACTGGGAATGTCAGCTAAAACACGGCTGCTGGGACACGTCACATGTAGAAAGCTTAATCTGTGATTGGCGTTTGGGATTCCCATGACGGGCAGGTTCGGCCATTACAATCGATACTCTCGATTTACAGCTTGGCATTTTGGGTTTAATCCAGCCAACTGTGGCTTATTCCAGTAATCACCATCTTCTTTTAACGACCCCATAATCTCTTACGGGGTGGAGTCTGGGCAACTGAATGGAACTAGCAGGGTGTTTACTGGCCAGATGCCTTTCCTGTTGACAATGCGGAGTTATATTCAGCAGATAACATTTTCATCACGCCAACTCACAGGCGCCTGATTGTGAGACAAGAGCTCCACCTATAGGCCACCGCACCACTTTGTGGCTTATTCCAACAATCTAGTTTTAAAACAAGCCTGGCTTAGCATGACGTATAGACAGCAGCCCAGGCCAATATGCAGGAGATGGGCTGGGCCTGCTTTGTCACAGAATCCTCAAATGGAAAGAGGCCGTTTCGTTTTGGGGTCCAGCTGGTGTTCCCCACCCATGATTAAGACTTAAATTCCATTGGAGGCAGTTGGGTCTCTTAAAAAAACAGTTTCCAAGTCACATTTAACTAAACCCTGGCAGAACCAGTACGGAATATAAATTAGAAGTAAACCTCACACTCCCCCACACTGATGATGTTATCTACTTACTGTCTGCAAGAAAACCATCAAGTTCAGGGAGCACCAGTTCTCCTCCTCCCCCCCTCCTCCTATTCTTCTTCTCTTCCTCCTCTCCACAACCCCCCTCCCTTCTAACACTGATGATGACCCAGCTAGATCACGAGACGCCTGCAAGAAAACCAGCAAGCTCAGAAAGGAGGAGGACCCCATAGTCCTCCTCCTCCTCCTCCTCCATCTATTCTACATCTCCCCTCCTTTCTAGCATTGATAATGTTACCTAGTTGGGTCATGAAAAATCTGCAAGAGAAACTACCAAGCTCAGAGAGCACCAAGTGCCTCAAAGTCATTGTCTTCCACCTCCTCTTCTATCCAACCCCCCCCCCCTTTTCAGGCCTGCAGGCATATTCCTCTCGGATCCTTGACCTGCCACACTTTCTATTATTCTACTATGCCTTTCCTGTTGTGGGAAAATGGGAGGGGGGACTGTACGGAGTGAGATGCGATGTAGTCAAAACAAAATTCCTTCCCCAAAAGCCAAGGTCATCCTTTGTCTCTGCAGTGCTGCATCTGACTGGAACTGAGTGGGTGGAAGCTGCCAGCANCCCCAAAATAACCAATAAGGAATGAGTTAAGTATCTCCGTGTTGCAATGCTTTTGAGAATGTATAAGAACACGTGCTTTGATGATGAAGGTTGTTCAGAATTTGCAATGTTAGCCAATTCGCTAACTTTCTGAACCTGGCTGCCAAATAAACCTTTCCTGTATCCTGAGAAGTCTAAAGCCTGTCATTTTCTGCAACAGTGGGTTACGGATCCCATTGCAACCGGTACTGTTGCAACGGGGCCCGGTGTCCTCCACATGAACGCGCGTGGCTTACCATCCAGCGACGCTTCCACGAGCCTCCGCAATGCTTCAGCTGCTCGGCGGAGCGTCACGCAGGCATTGTACACGCTTTACGTGTGCACGGAAGCACCGAAGAGTTTAAAGACAGGTAAGGAGTGTGAGCGGGCGAGTGAGCCCTCCGGAGCACCGTACCAGAACAGTACCCGATGCTCCGGGCAGGCTCCGGTACGCCCGTACCGGGGCGTACCACCTGCAACCCACCACTGGTTCAGTTCCAAGTGGGGAAAAAGACATTAGAGACATGGAGGCTGCTTGGAAAGATGGCTTAATGGTGGACAGGATCACATGGCTTGAGCTCCTGAGCAGAAAAGGGGGAGGGGGGTGTCACATGCTTTCAGATGTTGGGTGAAGAAGAGAAGAGAAAGAAAGGCTGAAACTTCCTGGCTTTATACGCTCTGTTCGGCCCCACTTCTCTGTTTCCTGTTTCTGTGTAAGAAAATGTATTCTGACTGGTTGTGTGACTCCCATGGGGTCATGCATGGGCAACTCTTTAGGTTGTGTTTTGAGTCCAAGTTTGAGTTTCCAGATGCCATGTGGTGAGTTTCTGTGGAAGGCTAATCCTTCCTTTACTATGTAAAATAGACTAGCTCAGGCTTTAATGGCTCATTGACAAAAAGGGGGTGTGGGGCAGGAAGCTGTAGGGAGCTACTCTGTCTTTAAAAACATGTTTCTCCCTTTTCACATCCAGGGAAATATAATATTCTGCCTTTTCAATATTTCCTAGGATATTTCATTTTTCTAGGAGAGGGGGGTTGCTAACTTCCTACAATGGTCCTATGTCACTTTGTTTTTGGTGCCGTTGTGACTTTGAACAGTCACTAAATGAACCGTTGTAAGTCAAGGACTACCTGTACACGCATCATGGCGTCTTACATGCAAAATTGCATGTGTGTCAAAGGATCTGCGGGCCAAGAGGTGCCCACTAATAGGATTTAGACAGGGATGAGTCTTGACTTCCCAGGAGGCATCCAGAGGTTAGCGGGAGACGCCTTTGAAGGGCAATTGCACCGTCCAACAGGAAGGCGAGAATGTGCCATTAAGGAAAGTCTGAAATTCGTTGATTGCCTGACTTGCTCCCAACCCAAGCCAACATGGTTTGTGCAAGCCACGAAGGCTCTCTGTTGTGGCCTGTTGGCCGCCGGCCACTCCAGCAGCCGAATCAGAGGAGGCAGCATGGGAGTCAGGGTCAGCATCAAGGCAACCTGAGAGCTCCGAGGGGGAAGAGGGAATGGAGCTGGCAGAGAGAGAGAGACAGAGGTGGAGCCTGGGCCGTCTGTCAGCCCTCAGATGGAGAGTCAACTGCCCCCAGGTCTGGAGGTGACTGATGAGGAAGAGGAGGAACAGCTGGGTCCAGTGCCTGATGTGCGGATGCACAGAAGGCAGAGGAGTGGAGAGTTGTGGAAATCTATGGGCCGACCCTTGGGACAGAAGAGTCACCGCAGCTAGTGAAGCCCCACCTGAGCTTTGGGGATAAAAGGCAGGGGGCAGAGATGAATAGGTGTGCAGAAGACAGAGGGGACAGGAGAGCAGTGGAAATTTATGGGCCAGTCCTTGGGATGGAGGAGCCACCATTGCTAGCGAAGTCCCACCCTAGCTCTGGGGATAAAAGGCAGGGGGCGAAGATGAATAGGTGTGGCAGACAACTATTCATCTCCCTGCCGGACAGACTTGTTAGCAGTGGTAAAATTCAAAATTTTTCCCTACCAGTTCTGTGGGTGTGACTGGGTGGGCATGGCTTGGTGGTCATGTGCCGAGGTGGCGCAGTGGTTAAATGCAGCACTGCAGGCTACTTCAGCTGACTGCAGTTCTGCAGTTCGGCTGTTCAAATCTCACCGNCTTCCTTCAAAAGCTTGAAACCCTGCCCCACAAAAAGGGGGGAGGGGGACAGAGGAGCGCAGGACTCCCGGAAAGGGGGGGGGGGAGTCTAGATTCGGACGTAAAAGGCGAGGACCTGCAAAGCCAGGCGAAACAAAAATCCCCAGCCAAAAATGGATTTCTGGGAGAGGTCACGCCGCCAGGTTCAATCGGGCAAGACGCGTCCGATGGATTCCGCGCAAAACGCACTCGGGACCCCTCGAGGTCTTCTAGAAGAGCCCCTTCCCGCACTTTGGGGGGCGGGGGCCTTGCAGGGGAAACGCCACCACCCCAGTTCTTCTAGACGGGGTAACCCTCATTGCCGAACGGCGATCCCAGAACACCCCACCCTGCCCGCCGCCGAGGATTCTGGGAAGGCATCCGGAGGGCGCCCGTTGCCGACGAGCGGCTGGCTCCCAAGCCGTAGACCCCCCCTCCCTACCTCGGGTCTCGCGACCCCCGGTTCCCCCCCCCTCCACCCGCGCCCCGTGTTGCGCTACCTGGCCGCGGCCGCCCGCCCCTCCCCCGCTCGGACGTTCCTGCGGGGCCGCCTTTGTCTCGACTGCCGCAACGCCGTTCACTCGGAAGGCTGGCCGCGTCGTGCGCATGCGGCGGGCCCGTCCAGAGAGTCGAGGCGGCTAAAGAGCTTCTCTTCTTCAGAGCTCGAACTAGCGCCGCCCTAACGGTCGGAAGAAGATCGCCTGGGACCTAAAGCGCTTATACCAGATAGTCCTTGACGTACAACCGAAAATGTGTGTTGTTAAGCAAGACAGACCTTCATTCCGTGAGTTTTGTCCTGTTTTACAACCTTCCTTGCTGCCATTGTTCAGCAAATCGCCACGGTTGATAAAACTCAGGAACAACAGTCATTAAGTGAGTCTGCCTTCCCCATTGATTTTGGTCGCCAAAGAGGATCAGAAGGGGAACTCGGGGACGCAGTGACTGTCATAAGTATAAACCAGTGGCCAAGTGTCTTGAATTTCGATCCCGTGACCACGGAGCTGCTTACAAAGGTCCTAAGTGTGAATCATGGCGTTGGAAGAAATGTCCTTCTGGGTTCAGCTCAGTGGTGGTAAAGTAGAATAAAATATGGATTAAAAATATAAGAATGAAGACATGGCATAAAAGCGACAGTTAGAAGCCTGCTTAAAGGAAATGTCATCAGCCTCTAACCACAAGATGTTCTTGTAGCAGAAAATGAGACAAGACCAGCTCTTTGTTAGAGGGAGAGGTTTATTTGCGCAAAGGTTCAGTAGCGATTGGTCAAGCAAAATCTGAACCCCGAAGGGCAGTTGTTTACAGTCTTTTATACTNTCCACCCTCCTCCTCTCCAACAGCCCTAGCACTGATGTTTCCTAGTGGGAGTCAAGAAACGTCTGCAAAAAGAAAGAAAGAAAGAAGCTCAGAGTGGACCAAGGACTACAGTGTTTCTCCTCCCCCTGTCCGCAAAGCTCACTCCCCTCAACCACTGGTGACGTCACCTAGCTGGATAATGAAAGGTCTGAAAGAAAGCCACCAAGGCCAGAGAGGAGCAAGGGCGCCAACATTAAGTGGAATCAATTATTTTGACTTGCTTTAGGTTGGACCAGACCTCCAAGGTCCCTTCCAACTCTGCTGTTTTTTTTGTTCCGAATGGTGTTAGATTAGAAGACCTTCAAAATTGCTTCCAACTTCGTTATTCTCTGCAGTAGGGGGTTGGACTAGAAGATCTCCAAGGTCCCCTCCAGCTCTAATCAGAGAGCGAGTCAGACAGACAGACAGACAGACAAGTATATAAAACATAATATCTAACCGTATTTTTTCCCTGTTTGAACTGTAGTTATTTGCATTTCATCATTTAGTTTTAAAAGAAACGTTCCTGGTAAGAGGCGAAAATTGAAATTATTGAGCGCTTTCTCATTCCCTTTTGTCTACATTCATTAGTCAATAGCTAATGTCCTCGATTTAAGATGGTTCACTTAACAACCATTCGAAGGTACAATGGTACTGAAAAAAGCCACCATTTTTCACACTTACGACCATCAAAATTAACATGCTCGGCAAAACTGACTCGTATTTATGACTGTCGCAGGGACCCAGAGATGAGTTGGTCATGCGATTCTCCTTTCGCGATCTTCCAACTGCAGAAACCCACAGGGATTCATTTAACAACGAACTTTGCAACGGCAGTGATTCGCTTAACAGTCCTGGCAAGAACGGTCATAAAATTATCCTTTCACCCAGAAATAGAAATCCGAGGTTCAACTGTGGCCATAAGTCAAGGACTATCTATACCGCAAGAATAACATCTTAGCTGAGTTTGAATTTGTGTATTTTTCCCCCTTAAAATAGCTGGCATACCCATAATATTCGAATAATTCATAATTCCCGGTAGGAATAAATTTAAACATTTCACAGATTAACAGAGTTGGAAGAGACCTTGGAGGTCATCTAGTGCAACCCCCACCCCCACCCCCGCCCAAGCAAGAAACCCGATATTGTTTTGGACAAATTGCAGAAAACAGCGATAAAACTGCCACAATTTCATGAAATTAATTTGAATTTCTTAGGCTAATTTCGCCCAGAATAGAAATAAAGATATATTTTTTTCATTCTGACCCGTTGTGATATATAACAATCACACACACACACACACACACACACACACACTCAAGATAATTTGAACTCTGTGCCACAAAATATAAATGTACAAAAAGCAGGAGGCGAAATATAACTCGTTTTAGCGACTGTTTCAAGCTGAAAAATGTGACTTATCGCCCTGTTTCATGGTTATGACCTTTCCAGGGATCCAAATTCGGACGCAGGGCAACTGATTCACATTTATGACGGTCACATGATCCCCTTTTGCGGCCTTCTGACCGTAGGGGGAAAAGCCAAGATTCATTTCACAACCAGGTGATGAAATTATCAAACAGCGAGTCGCTTACCGATAAAGAGGACAGCAGCAAGGCAAGGCGTCAAATGGGACCAAACACACTTGGCGATGAAAATGTGGGGATCCATTTGGGGTTTTAATATCAAGAGCCTCAGAAGAGACACTTCGTAAAATTCAGCTTTTATTAATTCCCATATAAGTAGTCCTCGACTTACAACAGTTTGATTAGAGATCGTTCCAAGGTTTAACAGCAGTGGGGAAAAATGGACTGCAGGGCCTGTTTTTCACACTGCTGCAGCCTCCGTCATGGCCACGTGGTCAAAATTCAGCCGCTCAGCAACCGATTCACACTTACGACAGTTTCCCTTTTGCGACCTTCGGACAAGCAGAGCCAAGGGGGAAGACGGATTCACCAAACAACCTAACTTAGCAACTGCAGTGATTCGATGAATGACGGGGGGCAAGGAAGGTTGCGAACATGGGGCGAAGCTCGCTTCCCAACCGTCTCGCTTAGCGATGGTTGAGCTCCATCATGGTCGTAAGTCGAGGACTCGCTCTGTTCCTACTTTTAAGTGAAGTTTAAAGACTGTTGGGTAAGAAAGGGTGAAGTTAGAAGGAAAAACACCTGTTTTGGGTCTTTTTTCTTGTTGCTTTACCTGAAATAATTGACGGCCGACAAAAAAATCTCCAGATTGTGTTCGCCGTCCTCACTGTCCCATAACACAACTGTGTTCTTTTACACAACTGCCTTGCCAGAAAGGAAGAGCTGAGGCAGAGAGGTTCCTTCCATCATCTCTCGCTTGAGGGCAGCTAAGGGGCTGGATTGACCCAGGTCCTTGGTGAGCGACGTTCACCTGGTCGCTGTAAGGATGAGGAAGCGGGGTGTGAGAAGCAACAATGCGCAACGAAGACTCATTTCTATATTTTCCTTTTTTATGCATTTATATCCCACCTGCGGACCAGTTTATTTAAAAATAACACAAGACGGCAACGGGGCTTACTGTTACTTCTGTCTTCCCCCACGACAATCCTGGGTGGTGGACGGGATTGAGAGGAAAGGACTGCCCCAAAGTCACCCAGCTGATTTTCATGTCCTAGGTGGGCCTAGAACTCCCTGTCTCCTGGTGATTGGCCCAAAGTCACCCAATTGGCTCTCAGGCCTAAGGAAGAACTAGAACTCACCGACTCCTGGTGATTGGCCGAAAGTCATCCAGTTTGGCTTTCAGGCTTAAGGTGGGACTAGAACTCCTTGTCTCCTGGTGATTGGCTCAAAGTCACCCAGCCCAATTTCAGGCCTAAGGCGGGACTGGAATTCACTGTCTCCTGGTGATTGGCCCAAAGACACCCAATTGGCTTTCAGGCCTAAGGAAGAACTAGAACTCACCGACTCCTGGTGATTGGCCCAAAGTCATCCACTTGGCTTTCAGGCCTAAGGCGGGACTAGAACTCACTGACTCCTGGTGATTGCCTCAAAGTCGCCCAATTGGCTCTCGGACCTAAGGAAGAACTAGAACTCCCAGTCTCTTGGTGATTGGCTCAAAGTCACCCAGCTGCCTTTCCCACCTAAACCAGCACTAGAACTCACAGCCGCCCCTCCCCATGGAGAAGAGCAACCAAGATATGGAGCTACCCCTCCCCCGCAACCCAAGAACCCCCCCTCCAGGCCAGAACCACTACTCCCATCATCCCCAACTGCGGAAGATCAAGCCTTCCTAGTCCTTCAGCACCCACTTCTAGGGTGCCAAGCAGGTCCCCCCTCCCACAGGGCCAGAACTATAAAATCCATCATCCCCAACTGGGACAGGACTAGCCTTGCTAGGCCCCTCAAGATTACCTCCCAGTTTGAGGGAGGGTCCCCCTGGGACAGAACTACAACTCCCATCCTCCCCCACCAGGGCAACCCAGGCTTTGCTCGGCCTTTAGAAACAACTCCACCTTTGGGGGAGACAAGCAACCCCACCCCCACCATCCAGAGGGAGGCTCCCTCTGGGCCAGAACTACAATACCCATCATCCCCCAACTGAGATGGGCCAGGCCTTGCTAGGCCTTTAGNTAAACTAGAACTATTTTGACACACAAAAAATTGTACTCCGATGTCTTACTGATTGTGGAATGATGAAATGTTTGTTTTAAAAGAAATAAAACTTTTGAACCATAAAAAAAAAAATAATTGGAACTTTGAGCAATACTTTGCCTCGGACTCTGATTTAATTTTGGATGCTATTTGGAATCCTGACAAGACACACCCCCCCCTCTCTTCCAACACCAATATGAACTAGTTGAGTCATGAAATACCCACAAGAAAAACCCCGAGCTCAGAAAGCAGCAAGGAGCCCCTTATTTCAATTCCTCTAACGCCACCTTCCAAATTAAGAAGGTCTCCCACGATTGCAAACCCTGCAAGGAAAGCCAAGCAACTCCCGTCCCAATCCTCTTACCTTGGGCGTTTCCCCCTTGGATCCCGGGGGAAGTCGGAGGATCCAGAAGTTCTGGTTCTTCAAGAGGTTCTCCATGTTCTCCAGCCTCCTCTGGAGCAGCCCGTATTCCTGGATCAAGGTGCCCAGAGCCGTCAACTTGCATTCCATCTGGTTGCCGAAGTCCACCACGGCATTCTCGCAATCCACGTATTTTTTCTCATTGGTCATCACGCGGCGCTCCAGGTTGAGCAGCCGACTGGCATGGGCATCAACCTTCCTCTCTACCGCTTGGATGGCAGCCACGACGGTCCAGAGAGAAAGCTCGGCCATGTTTTGCTTGACCTCCCGGTCAAAAGTCTGCTCGGGAAGAAGAGGGACTGGCTGGCGGGACTCCATCTTCCAATCTGCGAATTCTTTAATGACAAAAAGAGAAAAACTGCTTAAGGAGTAGCAAAAGGAGATAATATTGGCTGCCGTGTGGGGTCCGTGGTTGTTGTTGAGTTGCTGGACCAGGTGGTTTTTCCCCTAATGTTTCATCACTGAACTAGGGAACATCATCAGTGCTAAGAGAGAAGCGGAGTTTGCTCTTTTAAAAAATAATAAGAACTCACTGCTTCCTAATTATGTTACCTAGTGTGGTGATGAGACACCTGCAAGAAAACAGCCAAGCTCAAGAAGCACCAAAGTCCCGCACAGTCCTCCTCCACCTCTCTGCAACCCCCTCCTCCCGTCTATTCCTCTCCACCACCACCCTCTTTTCCACAAACTCCCCCTCCCTTGTAGTCCTCTCCACCTTCCTCCTCTTCACCCTCCTCCTCTCCACAAACCCCCATGCCTTGTAGTCCTCTCCACCCTCCTCCTCTCCACAAACCCCCATACCTTGTAGTCCTCTCCACCCTCCTCCTCTCCACAAACCCCCATACCTTGTAGTCCTCTCCACCCTCCTCCTCTCCACAAAC